TGCCCACTGACGCCGACACAACACTGTTGACATTTGCTGACGACACTTGCCATTTACAGATCATCACGTTCACCTACGCTACTGACTACAAAAATACAGGACATATAGACGCCCTGACTGATTACACGGAAAAATAGCAAATTAAAATTAGTCCTTCTAAAACAGAAGCAATTTTCTACAAAAAGCCGTTGGTCCATTACACTTACTGACTTGACGAAACTAAAGGTAATGGGCCATGAAGCTGAGTGGTCCAAGGAAGTCAAATACCTTGGCGTAACCTTGGACTATAGACTCAGCTTCACAAAACATACGAATACAAAATTGGACAGGCTTACGGGATGATGAATCTACTGAGACCTCTTTTGAACCACAACAGCCCGCTAAGCGTGAAGAACAAGCGGACACTTTACTTGACACTGATAAGACCATTACTGACATACGCCGCTCCGGCATGGAACGCGACAACCAAGACGAACAGACGGAGACTACAAATAGCACAGAACAAAGCACTGCGACTGGTACTAGACAAATCAAGGAACCCACTGACGAGACACTACTACCCAACGAAATATTTACATGAACAGACGGACATACAGACTATACTAGAATACATAAAGAAGCTCACTGAAAATTTTTACCGAAAGTGTAGGGATCACGATAATAGTACCATCCGCGCGTTAGGCCAGTACACATCAGAAATGATCTGGTACGGGAATTATGCCATGCCCAACTACCTGATCGAGCCCGCAGTGAATACATGAGTCATAAAACAATGAATGAAGGATTTTTTTTTTTTTGGAGATAAAACTTTTCTCCCTTTTTTGTCCTTGCGTAATAATGAATAAACTATTGTACAAATACAAATATATAGACAATGTTGCAAAATCATAAACTTTTGGGTAAAATACCCCCAGGGTAAACAAACCCACATATAATTCACTGTATTTTACACTGTATTTATTGAATAAATTTTTATTTCTGTCTGTCTGTCTGTCTGTGTATGTATATTGAAATGTTATGAGATGTTGTTGTGGGGTTGATTGAATTGGGTTGGGTTCCAAATGTAGATTGATCCACTCTCCAATGGGGTGCTAGATCAGTCCAACCTTGTTCTGGTGTCGTGGGCAGAGCTTAGAGTTTATAATAGAAAATAACAACACTGGTATGAGTCTCCTCAGAACCGTGAGCACTTTATATTGGTATAGGCTGAAAGATGTCTTTACGCAAAGTAGAATACAAACACTGAATCTAATTTCGACTATAACTTTATTTAATCTTTATTAACTTCACATCACAAACTAGCATAGATTCGTGCTAAGACATACTCTTAAGACATTATCACTTGGCTAGACTTTTGACTAAGACATCACTAGTTAATACAAATAATTTTGACTCTATATATAATGCATTGTACGTGACAATTCTAGGAATGGCGTCTTCCGCGTTCATGTAAAGATCTTGGACTTTGATCAACATTGAACAATGAATTCATATTTTGATCAAAAGCACGTATGATCGTGTTATTACAGAAGACGCCACCCCTAAAGAATATTGTTAGTCCTCTAACAATTGAGAAGAAAAAAAAAACAAAGAAATTACAATTTATTTGGGATTCCTCCCCTCTAAAACAATTTAT